AAATATTATTGATGATTGTTTTCTGTTTCTTGATATACATGACTCGACCGCTATCGCTACTTATACACAAGGCTATAACAACCCTAAATGACAAGGACAAAAACTTCCTTTCACACAACAACACGAAAGTCCCAAACCAACAAGCAAATGAATTGACTAATAAAAATGTGATTGGCTAATTATAGATTAATTACCAAACTTAGAGGTGGTAGATCATGGATTGGTGAATTTCATGGATTTGGAAAAATGAATTGGTGGATTTATGGTCCCAGTGAAATCTAGATATTTGACCAATATGTAACTTTTTGAAAAAATTGAGTATAAAATATCATTGTAAAAAGTTTAGGTACCAAAATATAGCTTTTAATGATATTTTACATTAAAATTTAAATTTAGGTATCAAAATTTTACATATATCCATGAATCCACCATCCAATTGGATTTGGATTAAGTAAATATTTTAGTGGATGGATTTGTGGATTATATATAAAATTGCTACCTCTCCCCAAACTCCTAATAACAACGTAACATACTCCTTCATCTTTGTTGTCACACTTACAATGACCAAGATTGTCATGTTGGTGGAATGCCGACCGATTGAACTTGGTATAAAAGGTGTCAACCATGAAACTTATAGGAAGACCACCAGTATGATGGACAAGATCTATCCTCGACCTATAAACAAAATGATGTTGTTTTAGTAAATTTAATTAAAAAATCATTTAAAATTTATTTTTATTAATTTGAAAGTTAAATGTTGATTTTATTTGTTGAATCCAAGTACAAACGTTTGGATGCTGACTTTAAATTTTGTATTTAAATATGCATATTTTTATTTTGTTTGGACTCTTTTATTAAATATAAAAATAGATATTGTAAATGGATTGTATTCAATTATGTGTTTTATATATGCATAAATCATTTGATATTAATAATTTTTCACATTTCCAAATATATTTTAAAACCGATATGAACCAATATAAATTGATTATACCCAAATCGAACAATAACACTTGCTAAATCAATTCAACAGTATAAACCAATTTGAGAACTCATATACGAATTTCTACTCCTTGCACATAAATTAAAAATCAGATCAAGACAACCATATATAAATTATAACTTATCTTTAACTTTTTTTTTTGGCTATGACATATTTTTATTGTTCCATAGGAAGTTTTTTATTTATTTTCTTATAAAGGTTCCGTGGTAAGTATTAAGTAAGGCTAATAGTGCCAACCCACATGACTTTTTCTTTTCTTCTTAACGTTCACACAATCACACTGCTCTTTTGGTAAACAAATTAATGTTTATTATCCGGCAATCATCTTAAGTCTTAACTTAACTTTAATTAATTATTATTTCTTTTAGCAGGGAGCTTTCGCTGTCTGTGGACCGAGTGTTGTTTGGAGTATCGGCTAGGATGAGATGCACGTGGAGGTTAAATTGGGACGTGGCCCATAGATCACCGTTGGATGGAAGGTGGAAATTGAGACGAAAAGTGGTCCGTGGAGGATCTGCTTTGGTTGGCTTGACGATTGTGAAGGTGGGAGAGTGGTCAGAAATCAGAACGGTACTTCTTTTGTAGCAAATCTTGTTTAAATAAGAAATTTTGTAAACGAACTTTTCTTGTTTTTTTTTTTGCATTTAATTTGATGAAAATTATCTAAATGAATTTTTGACACATTTTACTAGTTCTATTGGAGGTGTAAACTAACATATTTTCAACGTATTTATTGGGAATATCTTTAGTCCATCTTGTAAATACACTAAACACGCGGTGTGAATACTCTTAATAAGTATTGTGAATTCTCTCATTGTATAGATATTGTGAACAGTTGTAACGCGTGTTCTGAAAGAGCTCTTCTGCTATGATTTAAGACATTGATGTATGTCTTGAGGTACAAGTTCAATTTGTACTATAAGACCATGCAAAGAAATTTAAACAAAAAAAGGTAATGATACAAACTGAAATCGCACCATAACGTTTATTTTTAATGATGATATAATATTAGTAATTAAAAAATTTAGTTTGTACCATAAAGATCAAAATCTAAAGCGCTCATGCTTTAAAGTATTGTAAAATTCCTCGTTCCGAATACCTTTACAATATTGTATGAATATTTTTGCTGCTCATTGTTTGCCCATAAAAAAAATCAATTTGTACCAAAACACCCGTTAAAACATTTCAAATTATATATCCAAAATATATTGAGATTGATGTAAAGAAATTAATAATATATAATTTATAAAACTTTCTTAAGAAAAATAATATTTTCAACATACAAAATTAAAATGAAGTAAGCAAGAAAACAACGCTATGCTCTCCCGTCATCAGCATAGTAACCATTCTGTTAATCAGTCCACATTTGAGTTGGACCATTACTTGATCCTCCCGACACCATTTGATATGTAACACGACTGTTTGAAATGGGATTGATGATGGAAACTTGCATCTCCTCCACTGGTTTAGCTAGACAACAACAAATTTCATTTCATTGCTTTAACAAAAGCTTTATAATTTGGTTGGGTTAGTTAGCAATTTAGCACCCTAGCTCTCTTCTATTTGTTTATTGGTGAATTTGTGGGTTGTTGAAGATTCGTCACTGTCCAATTATGAATTTTGGTGCCTTACAAGATAATCTTCCATCTTAAGTTTGGTTAGACAATGAAATGAGCTCAACTGCCCCACACCAACGTTTCAACTAGGGGCAAGATTGCGCAGGTAAGTTAGGACTTCTAAAAAAAAAACACAGGTAAGTTGGGGTCAATGATCCTATGCGGTTTTGTTTTGCTGTGGAAATGCATGTGTTTAAAGCGCTCTGTTCTCAACGAAAAACAAGAACACAAAAAATGAGAAGTGGAAGGGGAGGTCTAACCTGAGCCCTCTAAAACTGCAAAACAATAGATAAAGAAAACAAATGTTGGTTGGAGTTGAAAAAATATGGCTTGGGAATAGGGATTACATTTTAGTTGAATTTTAATTTAGACTACATATTTGTGTTGACTTGGTGCAATTACCTCGACTAGTCATCATTTTAAATGTTACATGTTTGGGTAATAATCAGGATCTTCCTTGTTGATATTCCCTAGTGCTTCAAGTCTTGGTTTTACATGGTACTTAAAATCTTACAATATTTGATTATGTACTTCTACGATTCTGATTTTACTCCAATTTTCTATTCATGCAAAATCCCGATTTTAATTATTTTGATGTGAATGAATATGGTTCTTATGATACATGATGGGAAATAACAGTGACTGAATTTATGTGACTAGTCAAGCTCTACAATGCCTTCTAATGTGCTCCTGCATGATTGATTATGATATGGTAGGGTGAATGTGAATCATTACTTTAACACATATTATGGGAAAGACTATGTCTAATCAATGCACTTACGTGATGAGTTCCGTATCGCCTTATTGATATGGGTCAAAAGCGTGATTCTAGTTAGAAAAGTTTTGGTGATCTAGAAGTGTAAAACCAAAATCGTAAGCTTTTAAACTTGACTACTCTTATAAGGAAAAAAAACACACGATTCTACATAGCGTTTTGGTGACTTGAAAATGTAAAAACGTAAGCTTTTAACCTTTAAAACGCAATTTTGACTGCATTGCAAGCAGGCATATTAAACAAATAAATAAGAAACTACACATTGTTGTTTTCTGGGCATATATAGCTAGCTATAATCTCCTGTAGTAGTAGTAGTAGTATTGTTGCAAAAGAGCCACTGCAAAGATATATAGAAGCTCTTTTAACTTCAGATGCTATTCAATCTAACTGTTGACAGTCGTACCCAGAATCCTGGGGTAACTAACAAACATGACCTCGTTTGGTTTGATGTGCCATCTCTCTTCATGCCTAATCAACATTTCCCCATCGGAACAATTTCCCAGCCATCAACCTGCAAAGCAGAGACTCTGTCAAAAGCAAAAACATGAAATCTGAGAGAAGAATGACTGATATCTTGGGATATTTTGAAGCAACAGCTGCCTAAATCCAGCATAGAAAGAATACGCCAACAACTCAGACATTACGACTTCAGATCAGTACCCGAACTATTTCATATGCAAGAAATGTGTACTCCCAACCTATCCCAAGGGCCTGTTCTGCCTGTTCCCATTTGAATACCCCCTGCTTACAATTGCCAGTCCTTACTCCTTAATGTTCACACACCTGTTTGTTCTTAACGTGTTCTTTCCTTAAACAAACTCCAGCGGGATTCATCAACACTACTCAGCATCTGCTAAACCACTGCTTCACAACCAGTTGTCCAAGTCTCTCAGATGGAAGGTAAACCCTCACCCAAATTTGAAACATATCCGAGGATAATCCTATGGCTTAAATCAGCACTAATTACCAACAAAAGTAGGTGCATATGTCAATCAATATATAGTCTGCAAGCTTATCTTAGATATTTGAAGAGTATGCGAGCTTAACTCGATACAGTTCTCAACTCGTAACCTTGATCATGGCCTACTTAAATCATCACAGATCCCCATTAATAACCGATTGCAAACACTTTGTACAAGCCAAGCCCGACATCTACCCGAAAGATACTTAACATAATAAGACAATTGGGATTGTTACTAGTCGCTTCACAACTAAAGAAAAGCTGGGATATAACATTCACTGTTAAAAGATCTTAGCTATATGAAACATTCCATTCCGAAACCATCCATTACTACCGGCCATTAGCCAATGATGTCAAATCGAGATAAGTTGGACCGGGATGAACTGAGCAGATTGGCTCAAGCTCCTCTACTGATGGATACAGTATCTCAATCAACATTTCGCTCTGCAGAAGTTTAAGTGTAACTGCCCTGATACACTACTCATATGCTAGCAGAAGTTTAAGTGTAACTGCTATGACCTTTAAGACAAAAAGCCCGTTCAAAGTTTAACTTGCAATCATCAAATTGGCTCAAATTATCAAGTAACTTGGGATAAAAAAGGAGAGAAGCCAATCGAAATTGAACATACCCTTTTCAAAATGCAATCAGGTTGATTTGGGATCCATAACCTTTCTGGCAGCCATATTCTTCCTAGCAGCTCTCGCATTGTCATACTCAAACTGCAACACATTGCTAATGTGGGAGGTATCCTTCACATAGAACATCCTCCCGAATCTGCTCTCCTCAATCGCCGGGAAGTAGAAGAAAATCAACGAATTCACCACCCAAAACCAGGTCCCGCCGAGGACAAGCCCGAGCGATGCGCCGGCGAACACCTGGGCCACCGTGTGGTACCCCAGATACACCCGAGAGTACATTGTGAGCACGGCCATGGACCAGGCCAGGGAAAACGCGAACCCCTTGTTCCTGATGGTCTGCGCCAGGCCGATCCCTTTGAGCATGAGCAGGGTGAAATAGGTGGCGAAGAAGAACATGTACTGCGAGTGGCTGGAGGGCCAGCCGTGGGAATCGCACATCTCGAGCAGCTCGCAGGTGACCGGGCGGGCCTGCTGGACGGTGGTCTTGACGACCTCGTTGACGAATTGGGAAATGAGGAGGCCGACGGCGAAGAACATCGCCTGGAGCTCCCGCCGGAAGATGAAGTGGGCGACGAATCCGCCGAAGCTGATGAAGACGGGGACAAGAGAGATCCAGGCGAGGAAATGACCTAATTGGTCGCCCCTGTGGTAGCGGACGTGGGTGAGGGTAACGGCCTTCAGTGACGGGTGCGGCATGGCGACGATTCGGCGTTAGTTCCGTACCTCTGTTTGGTTTTTCGCTCTTCTTCTGATAACCCAACGCGTGAAGATCTGGAGGCCTGAAGTGAAAGGAGGAATTTTTTTGTTGTTATTTTCTGGGCCGTGGTGTTTGTTTCGGTTGTGTGTGGCAAATGGCAGAGTTCGGGAAGGGGAAAGGAGAACCGAGTCAGGCAGCGACACGTGTGAATAGCTTCAGTGCTGAAGCATGAGGCAGATTCCGTGCCGGTGAACAATTTGACCCTTTTTTGTCGACAAAGAGAAAAATAAAATAAAAAATATAAGAGAGCAATTCGGCTTCAGGCTTCACCTCTCTCTATTCTTTTTTCCATTTTAAAGGCTTCCTGGCCAACAAGCGACGTTGGCAGTTGGCACCAATTGGGTTCGGAGGAATTTTAGAAGGTGATTAGTTTGATTGGAATAGTTACAATACATGTATTATTTATATATGATGTATTGTTTTTTTTTTTTTTTACAAACAATATATGTATTGTTTGCTTGATTTGACACAATTTATCACTCAAAATGAGTGATAGTAAATCTCAAATTTTGGTTGAGATTGTTTGGTAGAAATTGTTGAGTTTTCTTTTTTCCAATTATGTCCCTACCTTTTTATTTGTGTTGTTTTTTAAAAATTAAAAACAAAGAATAAAAGTGAAATTTCACCCAAAAAGTCATAACTTATTGTAATATTTCAATAACTATGACGAAAATCAACGATGTAAACTACAATACACCAATTTTCTTATATACATGTATATTATTGTGCATGCATTGATGACAATGCATAAATTTAACTATCATCAAAATCAATTTTGTCTTTAGTACAACTTGAAATTGTATCTTTACCGTTACAGAACAATTTCAGGTTGTACCTATACCTTTTTGTAAAATTCTTTTATGATACAATTTTAATTTGTACTTTAAACGTTATGGTACAACTTCAAGTTGTACTTTTGTTTTCCGCCGAGAAAACTCTTGTGTTTGAACTCAATAAATGCACATTGACGTCTTGAACAATGATTAATAACACGATTCACACCTCTTCGAACAATGTCCGAACGAGGGTGTTTGATGATTGAGAAAACTAAGTTACTTTACTCTACTCTACTCTACTCCTATGTAGGTTCAGTGAGAGCTCCATAAGCTAAAAACTAAGGCGATGGCTACATTGAAGATAACAGATAAAGTTTGACACGTGTTGTCAAATGTTTGGTTGTGGAACCATTGCTTCGTTTTCGTTTCTCCTATTTACAGCTATCTCTTGTAACCGACGTGTAACCGTCTCTTGGTAACCGCTTCTCCTCTGCTTGGTGCTTTATGTAGCTTGCTTGACACCTTGACTCTCTTGCGTGCTTGCCACTTGATACCTTGCACTTTGATGACTTCACTTGATAGCTAACCCCTTGTGCCATGGAGGTGTCTTGCTTGGTGTGAGGGGTTCATGCTTTGTGATACTCATGTTGGCATGAAGTCATGCTCGACACTAGGGTGCTTGGGGAAATCGACGGATGCACACTGTCCTCTTCGGGATTGACATCATGCTTGTAGGGTCTTGACAAGGTTGTCTACCGTCCATGAGGCCTAGCATGCTTGACTACTTGGGAAGAGGGTGCGTTGTGCCATACCCCATTGGCATGATATCATGCTTAGCACCTTGGTGCTTGGTAGGCGGGTACACAGCCTGCTTGAGGGGTGGGTGGCGAAGTCTTGACACTTAGCCAAATTCCATCGCCACGGTCTCTATCCTTCTTATACGATGTCATACTCGACACCTCGTACTTGGTATGTGGGTAGCTAGGTGTTTGTCCCCTTTGCATGACATCATGCTTGACCCCTCTTGGATGATGTCATGCTTGACCTCCTTGTGGTTGGGTCTCAACACTTAGTCGTATTTCTCCACCACCATGCCAATTGTATGCTTGATGGCTCTCCTTGCACGGCATCATGTGTTGACACCCTAGTGCAAGGAAGGTAGGCGACATGGTACCTAGTGCTTGACCCCCCTTGGATAATGTCATTGCTTGACCCCCTTTATATGAGGTCATGATTGACAGGTGGGTGATTGGTGGGTCAAAGAGTGTGTGTTGTGGTACTTTGTATGATACCCAAAATTCCACCATTTAGGTCCAGCTTAAACCAATTTGATTGATATGGTTAAGTTGGTCTCATAAACCACTACCACTCCTTGAAAATAATCAATATGGTATCTAGTAATTTTTTAGTGGTAAACAACTTTCAAGCACTAATACTTTAAAGCATAGTAGAAGTGCTTATTGGGTTAGCACAATTTGTATTACATGTGTTTGGGTAGGTTGTGTAACCTCTGGTTTAGTGATGCCAGTTTTGGGAAGGGTGCGTAACTCTTGATTTAAAATGTCAATTTTCCTCAAACTCATGGGTATTTTACTATCATACTCAATTGGGTTGAGTATGAGATCCAAATAGATCATACGTATACTCATTTATGTGAGTTGGATGGGGTTCTACCGATACTCATTTGCAAATTATAGTTTGGTACCTAAACTGAATTGATTTGTAGATTTAGTACATGAATTTAAATGGAATAGAATAGTCACTCGAGATTAGCCCAAACGTTAGGGAAAGATCACATATATTTGTGTGATGTGCAGCGGAGGCAACGAGACAAGATCACATTTATTCTGCAATTGTGTTCATGTTGACCATTTCTTTAGTCTTTTGTAGGACTCTGCAGGTTTGGCCTTCATCATAGGACGATCTGTTGTGTCAAGTTGAGCGGGAAGTGAAGAATGGCGGAGCCTATGGTCGTGTTTTTGGAGCAATATGGTGATGGGTCACATGGCTCTTGTGGAATGGAAGATGCAGCCAAGTCTTTCGCGGCTCGAGCATGGATTGACAAACGCTTTTTAGCAAGTTTAAGGACGAGATTTTATTGTTTGTAATGGGTAATATTGAATTTGGGAATGAGGTGGGGAGTTTTTTTTTTCCTTTTCCAAAAGATATCATGTATTGATCGAAAAAATAGACAGTTACACCCTGGAAACCAGCCAGGTCTGGAAATCAAAGAAGCGACTCATAGTCGGATACAAAGAGAGGGCTTTCCTAGCTACCAAATGAGCTACCCTATTGTTCTCCCGACCTACAAAACGCACACTAAAACCAGGCTGAGTACGAAAATAATGAGCAATCTCTTTCAGAACAACACCCAACCGGCTATCTCTTGTGTCGGCTTGGTTAATTTTGTCAATAATCACCTTTGCATCGCCCTCAAAATGGACCTCCGACAAACCTTGCTCCACACACCAAATAGTAGCTTCCCTAAGCACAAGCAATTCCACCACTACAGGATCATCCATTTGAGCAAACTGGACCCCTCTAGCCAGAAGGACTGTCCGCGCTGGGTCAAAAAGAACCATCCCACCAGCCGAATGTAACCCACCCTTAGTAGCTCCGCCCCACATGCAAACCAAATGGGAATCACCCACTTGTGCTGTAGCTTGCATTATCGGGATTTGTGCCCTAGGCACCTGGTCCGCTGGTAGACCCACTCACTCCTCATACTGTTGGTTAAACTGTCGCATGAGGTGAGGAGTCAACTATGTTTACTTTTAGTTGATTAGTTTGAGTAGTTTGACTGTATATCAAACAGTGGTCTATTGTCCTTGTTTTTTTATGTTTGATCGATTTGATTTGGAGAGTTATTTGAAACACTAGTTTTTTTTGTCATTAGATCACTCTAAAAGATAGGAACATACAATGATAGGTTTACAACAAAAACTTACCTTTTACTAAACAAAAAACAAAGTCGAACCTCAAACATTCAAGGCGACAAAAACAGAATAAAAGTGGCCACCAAACGAACCGCTCTGTTACCAATACAACCAACAAACCGAAAGAAAAAAAACACCCTTCATTCTCAATTGGGCTTAACTGTTTTGTCCTTTCTTGGGCTTTTAGCTTAATGGACCAAGCACGGGCCGGTTCTCAAACTTGCCCACCACGGCATTTTAAACCGAAGGCTTTAGGTCTTGGCCCTGAGCCTAATTAAACCGAAGTAAGAGGCTCCCTTCATCGTCCTCTTTCGCTTGCTCTTTCACACTCTGCTCCTTTCGATACTGCGACTGCGGGAGAGCAAACCTCACTCACAACCAGAGCTCCCGTCTTCGATCCAGGTTCAATTCCTTCTCCCTTTAGCTCCTCGTCTTTCTTTGCGTGCTGTTTCTTATCGCAATTCTTGTTCTGTGTTAAATCTGTTAGCTGCTAGATTTCTCTGCAATTTTTTCTGTTTCTCGGTACGTTTTCCTCCGTTTAGTTATCTCGTAATTCGGATCTCTACCTGCGCCGGTGGATTTAGGGTTTCGATCTGATTGTATGTTTCTCTTTTATGTACAGAGGTGCTCTTATGTCAATTCGTTCGTCGAAGTTTGTGTATGAGTTGGATGTTTCTTTCTTGTTTGTGAATCTCTGGTTTTAAACCTAATAAAATCTATTATCGGTGTGCTTGAATCCAAATCTTGCACCATCTTCGGCAGTGGTTGTGAAGGAGATGCGTGGATTGGATTTGCACACGGTTTTTCTGAGTCTATTCAGTGGCTGTAGTTTATTGGTAAATCCCACACCTTGTTGTGGAGACCTGGGCTATGGAAATGTTGGTAGATTAGCCCAATGACCAAGCTAAAATCATAAGTGTAGGATAAGCTATCGTCAGCCTTGGTAGAATAGACATGGGCAGAGGCTTAGTTCATTGAGGATTATCATGCATATGACGCCTTTCTCAATTTTTTGAACTACTCACTGACAAAAGAGCAGGTTCTGCATTACAAGCAATGCTACGAGTCCAAGAAACAATTTTATTTCGTTACTGAGGAGCTTCAAAGCATCAAAGTTCAGTGTCCCTAGGTTACTTAAGGTGGTCAAACATGATAATCTCAACTACATACCTGCAATAATGGCACCGTGAAGGTCTGCATTAAGAAGACATTGAGCCAACTGATTTC